AAATTTTTTTCTTGTGACTTTCTACCTTTGGGCTGAAGGGTTGTTGATGCCAGTTACCCGCTTGGCTATTATTAAAATATGCATTCCCCTCCCTGCCAAACTCTATCCTTAATCCTGAAGGTCACATTCCCAAACTGGGCCTGATTAATGACAACAACAGCAAGAAGATGTGACAGGAAGGCAATAAAGGGATCCATCTTTGGTTGGCATGAATAAAGTTGCACATAATATGTAAAAGGCAGTCCCTGCAACAAAACCCCCAGAACCAGTCACCCTGAGGAAGGGGATGCCTTGAGGGGTGGGCTGGGCAGACATTTTGGTCAGCCTTGTCATATTGATCACATCCTTGGAGAAGGATGCACATCTTGGGGTTTCACTCAGCCTGTGAATTGGGGGGTATGACTCATGATGCTTCTCAGTTACCAATAGTCCCTGCAGAGAAGAAAAGTGAAGGCAAGTTCCCTGTTGGCAAACACACTTGTTTCTAATCCAATTAAATGCTGTTTAATGACCAGCTGATTGGGGCTTGGGCCATAGCACTGAAGAGAAGGAGAAGGTGTGATTTCTGCCCCTCTGGATCTGCCATTCTGCAGGGGAGTCGAGGCTCTCAGGCATGAACAAGCAGAGGATGACCGAACCTGGTGGCATTTAGTAGTCCAGACTGCATGGGTTCCTGGGGAGAGAAACTAAACTCGCAGTAACTTAAGTGAAGAAAATCAATTTATTGTCTATGTAACTGAGAACAGGAGTCATTGGCCTAATTCTATTCTGATTAGGTGAGCTACTTCCCTTTACTATGGTGCCTGCTACTGCAACTTTGGGTTTGTACTATACAAGCTTAGGGACATGGGAGGAATGAGAAAGCCTCTTTCTTCTAATGTTGATATATAAAGTTTCAGCAAAAGGCCTAGATTAGAGTGACTGGGATCATGTGCTCCTTTCTGGCCAACTGGAGGGTTTAGCTACTATTATGGGAAGTCCCAGGTATGTGACCTCTCTAAAAGTTTGGTCCTACCCGGCTACAGCCACATAGAATGAAAAAAGGAATACTCTCTACAATAAACTGGGTATGGGTGAAGGCTCTTGCTAGAGGAAGGGGTAAAGAAGTCTGGGACATTCTGAAACAGCTGGTGCTCTTTCTGTGGGTCAGGGCTGTCCTGTGAAGCCCAGAACTTATGGGTATGAGGCTCAGCCAAGGGGATCACACCGCGTGTGTGTGCTGAATTGGGCACAGAATTGAGAAGGCTCCCTGGCAAAAGCAGAAGTTGCAAGGAAGATGTCTTTGGATGGGGAAACTGCATTCTTCCTCTCAGTAGGGAGATCAGAGGAAAAACAGGGAAGTAGGCCAAGCTGCTCTCCTGCGGGCCCCCTCCATCAGTGAGTGGTGGTTATTGAATAGGGGCCCCTGATGAAGCCACTTAGCGGCACTCATGCTAAGGGTTAGTGACCTCCAACCCCAGAACTGGGGCGCTCTGGCAAAGGCAACCGTAACCACCCAGAGTGTAATTTGTCAGGGACGCAAAGGTTAACATTTTTCTTCACAAAAACCATCTTTAATGACCATCAGCAATCAGGACCTCCGATTTCTGTCTCATTTGAAAGCTTTTAATGCTTTCAGAGGGATAGATGGGGTGACCTAATAGGTCTTTTCCATCTCTGATTTTCTATGATTAATGAAGTTCAATTGTGCAGAATGAAATGGTGAGTTTCTCAGTGTCAGTTCAGCCGTATTCCTTTTCCCTCCCTCTTTCTTTTCCCCATTTTTTTCAGACAGATGATAATCATGCACATTTTCTTTAATGCTTCAGAGAAAAAAGGGACTTTTTCTTCTGAGCCAGGCTTTGAAAATGTCAATGTGGGTGTATTTATCTGTGGTGTAAATTGTTTCCAAATGCCACCAGCCACTCTTCACTTCCCCACCCCCAGGATAGACAGGGTGACTGCATGAAAGGCAACACAGGCATCGTAAAAGTGAAAGCACTTTATGTTGGGAGAGTGTGTAAGACTTTTCCCAGGTATCTTCATAAGACACATTAATTTAATAAAATACTGAATTTCTTCCGGGATTGATAAGGACTTTATAACCTGTTTTTTCTGAAGGGAAATTGAGGCCCAGCACAATAAAGCACAATAATGCACAGCACAATAAGGCCCAACACAATAATGCACAATTGAGGCCCAGCACAATAATGGGACTTGATCAAGGTTGTCTAGCCTTTAAGGGGCTACAGCCAGGGTCAGTTGGATCCCATTCTGCTGTACCTGTGAATTACAGTTCTAAATACTGTAATAAATGTACTAAATAGTACTGTAATAAACGTACTAGTACTGCATTTCTTGAGGAAAATTCATTGGGGCTTACATCCCCTCTCAACCTGGTATTTGCTTAGTCAGAAATCCTCTGAGTTATGAAGCAGCCAGGCCTGCAGGGAACTGTTTTGGGAGTAGGAGGTTTTTAACCTTCATATACTGTTTGCATTTGGAAGAGAAAGGTTGTCCATAAGTTTGTGTATTTAGTCTCCTTTCTGGCTAAAGGACACAGTTGGGCTCCTATGAATTCCTGAATGTGCTGTTTGACATGGACAGGAAGGGAGAAGCCTCAGAATCCCTGGTGGGAAGAGTGGAGGCTTCCCCAGTTTGACAGTGGGAGTCCCAGAACAGTCCTGAAAAGATTCTATGTGGTGATGATGATGATTTTTTTTTTTTAAGAAACTCTAATCAAACTCTAACCCAAAGCCCCAAATGACTGAAATTAGTCTAATTCTTTCTAAGATTCTAGGAATTCACATGAATAAAACAATTGCCAATGTTCTCCTCAGTCAAAGCATGCTGACCTGGACCATGGCAGATTCCAAGAACACTGAGCACAGGCTGTGATGATCAGGCTCTTCAATACTCAGCTGCTGCTGACACACCTATTAAGGGGGCCACATGGGTTGATGCTTGTTTTAGTCAGCTTTTCCACTGCTGGGACCAAAAGACCCGGCAAGAACAATTTTAGAGAAGGCAAAGTTTATTTGGGGGTTCATGATTTTAGAGGTCTCAATCCAGAGATGGCCATTTTGGGGACATGAGGTGAGGCAGAACATCATGGCAGAAGAATGTGGCAGAGGAAAGCAGCAGGGAACAGCTGGCACCAGGAAGGAGAGAGAGAGAGAGAGAGAGAGAGAGAGAGAGAGAGAGAGAGAGAGAGAGAGAGAGAGAGAGAGAGAGAGCAAGCTCACCTCACCACTGCAACAAATAAACCCTGAAGGCACCCTCCCAAGGACCCACCTCCTCTAGCCACACTCTACTTGCCTAGAGTTAGCGCCCAGTGAATCCCTATTAAGGGATTAACGCACTCATTAGGTTAAGGCTCTTAACCCAATCACTTCACCTCTAAGCTTTCTTGCATTATCTCACACATGGGCTTTTGGGGACACCTCATATCTAAACCACAACAGTGCTGCAGCTGGCTGAGGCCTGGTAATTTTACCTCTCTCCTTTTAAGGGGGCAAGAACTTTTGTGGATCCATCTCCTGGGAGGAGTCAGCTGGGCTATTCTCCTTTCTGCAGCCCCTGGAAATTACCCTTCTCCTTTCTGCCTCTGTACATTTTACCACTGTAGTTACCTCCTGTAAGTAGAATCATGCAGCATTCCATGGTTAGGGGAATATTCTGTGGTTAATTTCACAACGTAAGTCTCCAAGGTTTATCCATGTTGTAGCATGTGCCACAAAAATGCTCTAAGGCTGAAAAACCTAGGTATATGCCCTGGTTTGTTTTTCTGTTCATCTGTCAATGGACACTTGGGTGTTTTTCTTCTTTAGGAGCTTGAGAATAATCCTGCTAAGAACTTGTGGGTACAAATATCTTTTTGAGTCTGCTTTTAATTCTTTTGGGTATCTATAAGAAATGGAATTGTTGAATTATATCATTTTAAATTTAATTTTTAACCACCATATTATTGTCTATATAGAGAGTCTATGTATATATGTATGAATACACACACACACACACACATATATATATATATATATACATTATGCATACATATATTTATAAATGTTTATGTATTGTATGTATATATTTGTGTATAAACATATAATACATAAACATATTTATACATACATAATAGACTATCTCTATATATAGTCTTCTATGTTATATTCCCAGCAATGGTGCACAAGATATCAATTTCTTCATATCCTTGTGAACATTTTTTTTTTTTTGCTGGTAGTTATCCTAACAATGTGAAGCTGTGTCTCATTGTGGTTTTGAATTTCATTTCTTTAATGGTTAGGAATGCTGATTATCTTTTCATGTACTCATTGGGATGACTAGGATTTTGACCATATTCTCCAGCTGAATGCTTCTCAAAGGTGGTTGTATATTAAAATCTCCCTTGAAACTGTTGAGAAAATTAGTGGGTTTTGGAACCTACCAATAAAATTTAGAGTTGTAGAGATTGAGGCCCAAGCATCAGCATTTTTTAAAAGTAGGTGGTGGAGCTCTGGGTCTCATATCATAGGACCTGGGTGGAGTCATGGCACATTTCCTGGTATTGTCCTACTTTCAGCACACACTTTCTTAACCTTCTGTGAAAATATGACACACACACACACACACACACACACAGTCTTTGTCCCAGGGTGTTGATGCAGAACTTCTAAATTTCTTTGAATTTCTTAAGGGATGGGGTTGTCAAGATCTTTCTTGTAATCCAGATGAACCCCATTTCAATAATAGTTAAGTTTACACTAATGAGGAGGCTCTTGAAGAATCTCAAGAAAACTTTGGGCTGGGGTAATTGCCAGAGGAAACAACCATGTGATTTGAGGATTGGAAATTTTCATCCCATCTCTGGACTTCTGGAGAGGGAGAAGAGCGGGAGATTGAGTTCAGTTACCATTGGCCAATGATTTAGTCAATCATACCTATGTAAAAAAACCTCTATAAAAACCTTAAGTGATAGGTCTCCAAGTGGGTGACCATACTGAGGTGCTGAGAGGTTGGCATGTCTGGAGAAGGTATTGTAGCTCATATTCTGTCTTCATACCTTGCTCTATGCATCTCTTCCATTTAGCTGGTCAGTAATAGAAGGTAAGGTGCCTATTTTAGTTCTGTGAGCTGTTCTAATAAATCATCAAATGTGAGGAGAAAATTGGAACCCTTGTTATAGATTTGGGGAATATAAAATGGAGCAACCACTATAGAAAAAAATTATATAAATTCCTCAAAAATTTAAATATAGAATTATATAATCCAGCAAATATAGTCAGTAGATAAACTGATACTACAATTGGTTCTATAGATAATTATATGTAGGTGGAAACCTAGGATGTGTAACGTGTATCTGAAGTGGAGTTGGTCTTATGGAATTGAACCCTTTACCTGCAGGGTATGTACTAACTCCAGGGAGTTAATGCCAGAATTGTATTGATTGCAAGACACTTAGTTTGTATCCGAAAAATTGGAGAATTGTTTAGTGGAGAATAAAACACACCTATTTCACCAGAAGTGGTGTGAGTAAAACAGTTCATAACTTCCTTATAATAAGATAGGAATAATAATATCTACTTGGAAGATTGATTTTGATGTTGCACTGAGATAATGGGACATATGATAAATAGCATTTAGTAGGTAAATGTCATGGGAGGAAAGGGACGGGACAACTATGTTATTCTGTTTTGATGATAACGAGGGGAGATGTACTCACCCTGGAAGAGAGGGCAAGACAGGATGAGACTGATAATGGCCAGGAACAGTGGTTCACAGCTCTGGCTACACATGAAAGTAAATTGGAGATTTTAGATTCTTCTGAGGAGTTGCTTGTCAAACTGCTTTCCACAGAAGACACATGGTTTAGGGCTCTGGAACTGGTTGGCCACCACCTCTCAGGCCTTTTTTTAGGAGAAAAATCTCACTGTAGAACCGTAGGAAGCTGAGAAGCTGCTTCAACCTCCAAGGACCTCACTTCAAACATAGCCTGAAAATAATATGAAGGAAAAACAGTGCTGAATGCTCTCTAAATCTCTTCACTTCAGTGTGTATTAGCAACAAGGCTGGGTAAGTAATTGATTTAAACATATGATTTCTTATTTGATAAAATATTCTTTTTTTTTTTTTTTTTTTTTTTTTTTAATTTTTTATTGTGGGTTGTTCAAAACATTACAAATTTCTTGACATATCATATTCCACACTTTGATTCTAGTGGGTTATGAACTCCCACCTTCACCCCATACACAGATTGCAGATTCACATCAGTTACACATCCATTGATTTACAATTTGCCATACTAGTGTCTGTTGTGCTCCGCTGCCTTTCCCATCATCCACCCTCCCCCCTCCCCACCTCTCCCCTCCCCTCCCCTCCTCTCTCTCTACCCCCTCCACTGTATAACCCTGAGGGTCTCCTTCCATTACCGTGCAATTTACCTTCTCTCTCCCTTTCCCTCCCACCTCTCATCCCTGTTAAATGTTAATCTTCTTCTCCTGTTCTTCGTCCCTACTCTGTTCTTAGTTACTTTCCTTATATCAAAGAAGACATTTGGCATTTGTTTTTTAGGGATTGGCTAGCTTCACTTAGCATAATCTGCTCTAATGCCATCCATTTCCCTGTAAATTCTATGATTTTGTCATTTTTTAATGCAGAGTAATACTCCATTGTGTATAAATGCCACATTTTTTTTATCCATTCGTCTATTGAAGGGCATCTAGGTTGGTTCCACAGTCTTGCTATTGTGAACTGTGCTGCTATGAACATCGATGTAGCAGTGTCCCTGTAGCATGCTCTTTTTAGGTCTTTAGGGAATAGACCAAGAAGGGGAATAGCTGGGTCAAATGGTGGCTCCATTCCCAGCTTTCCAAGAAATCTCCATACTGCTTTCCAAATTGGCTGCACCAATCTGCAGTCCCACCAGCAATGTACAAGTGTACCCTTTTCCCCACATCCTCGCCAGCACTTGTTGTTGTTTGACTTCCTAATGGCTGCCAATCTTACTGGAGTGAGATGGTATCTTAGGGTGGTTTTGATTTGCATTTCTCTGACAGCTAGAGATGTTGAGCATTTTTTCATGTACTTGTTGATTGACTGTATGTCCTCCTCTGTGAAGTGTCTGTTCAGGTCCTTGGCCCATTTGTTGATTGGGTTGTTTGTTCTCTTATTGTCTAATTTTTTGAGTTCTTTGTATACTCTGGATATTAGGGCTCTATCTGAAGTGTGAGGAGTAAAGATTTGTTCCCAGGATGTAGGCTCCCTATTTACCTCTCTTATTGTTTCTTTTGCTGAGAAAAAACTTCTTAGTTTGAGTAAGTCCCATTTGTTGATTCTAGTTATTAACTTTTGTGCTATGGGTGTCCTATTGAGGAATTTGGAGCCCGACCCCACCGACTGTAGATCGTAGCCAACTTTTTCTTCTATCAGACGGCGCGTCTCTGATTTGATATCAAGTTCCTTGATCCATTTTGAATTCACTTTTGTGCATGGCGAGAGAAAGGGATTCAGTTTCATTTTGTTGCATATGGATTTCCAGTTTTCCCAGCACCATTTGTTGAAGATGCTATCCTTCCTCCATTGCATGCTTTTAGCCCCTTTATCAAATATAAGATAGTTGTAGTTTTGTGGATTGGTTTCTGTGTCCTCTATTCTGTACCATTGGTCCACACGCCTGTTTTGGTACCAGTACCATGCTGTTTTTGTTACTATTGCTCTGTAGTATAGTTTGAAGTCTGGTATCGCTATACCGCCTGATTCACACTTCTTGCTTAGCATTGTTTTTGCTATTCTGGGTCTTTTATTTTTCCATATGAATTTCATGATTGCTTTCTCTATTTCTACAAGAAATGCCATTGGGATTTTGATTGGCATTGCATTAAACCTATAGAGAACTTTTGGTAATATCGCCATTTTGATGATGTTAGTTCTGCCTATCCATGAACAGGGTATATTTTTCCATCTTCTAAGATCTTCTTCTATTTCTCTCTTTAGGGTTCTGTAGTTTTCATTGTATAAGTCTTTCACCTCTTTTGTTAGGTTGATTCCCAAGTATTTTATTTTTTTTGAAGATATTTTGAATGGAGTGGTTGTCCTCATTTCCATTTCAGAGGATTTGTCGCTGATATACAGGAATGCCTTTGATTTATGCGTGTTGATTTTAAATCCTGCCACTTTGCTGAATTCATTTATTAGCTCTAATAGTTTCTTTGTAGACCCTTTTGGGTCTGCTAGGTATAGAATCATGTCATCTGCAAATAGTGATAATTTCAGTTCTTCTTTTCCTATTTTGATGCCTTTAATTTCTTTCGTCTGTCTAATTGCTCTGGCCAGTGTTTCGAGAACTATGTTGAAGAGAAGTGGAGAGAGAGGGCATCCCTGTCTTGTTCCAGATTTTAGAGGGAATGCCTTCAGTTTTTCTCCATTCAGAATAATGCTAGCCTGAGGCTTAGCATAGATTGCTTTTACAATATTGAGGTATGTTCCTGTTATCCCTAGTTTTTCTAGAGTTTTGAACATAAAGGGATGCTGTACTTTGTCAAATGCTTTTTCCGCATCTATCGAGATGATCATATGGTTCTTATTTTTAAGTCTATTGATGTGGTGAATAACATTTATTGATTTCCGTATATTGAACCAGCCTTGCATCCCAGGGATGAATCCTACTTGATCATGGTGTACAATTTTTTTTATATGTTTTTGTATCCGATTCGCCAGAATTTTATTGAGGATTTTTGCATCTAGGTTCATTAGAGATATTGGTCTGTAGTTTTCTTTCTTTGAAGTGTCTTTGTCTGGTTTAGGTATCAGGGTGATGTTGGCCTCATAGAATGAATTTGGAAGTTCTCCCTCCTTTTCTATTTCCTGAAGTAGCTTGAAAAGTATTGGTATTAGTTCTTCTTTAAAGGTTTTGTAAAATTCTGCTGTATACCCATCGGGACCTGGGCTTTTCTTAGTTGGTAGTCTTTTGATGGTTTCTTCTATCTCCTCAATTGATATTGGTCTGTTTAGGTTTTCTATATCCTCCTGACTCAATCTGGGCAGATCATATGACTTAAGAAATTTATCTATGCCTTCACTATCTTCTAATTTATTGGAGTATAAGGATTCAAAATAGTTTTTGATTATCTTCTGTATTTCTGAAGTGTCTGTTGTGATATTGCCTTTTTCATCCCGTATGCTAGTAATTTGAGTTCTCTCTCTTCTTCTCTTCACTAGCATCGCTAAGGGTCTGTCGATTTTGTTTATTTTTTCAAAGAACCAACTTTTAGTTTTGTCAATTTTTTCAATTGTTTCTTTTGTTTCGATTTCATTAATTTCAGCTCTGATTTTAATTATTTCTTGCCTTCTACTTCTTTTGCTGTTGTTTTGCTCTTCTTTTTCAAGGATTTTGAGATGAAGTATGAGATCATTTATTTGTTGGTTTTTTCTTTTTTTAAGGAATGAACTCCAAGCAATGAATTTTCCTCTTAGAACTGCTTTCAATGTGTCCCATAGATTCCGATATGTTGTGTCTGTGTTTTCATTTATCTCTAAGAATTTTTTAATTTCCTCCTTGATGTCTTCTATAACCCATTGATCATTCAGTAACCTATTGTTCATTCTCCAATTGATGTATGCTTTTTCCTTCCTTCTTTTATCGTTGATTTTCAGTTTCATTCCATTATGATCAGATAAGATGCATGGTAATATCTCTACTCCTTTATATTGTCTAAGAGTTGCCCTGTGACATACTATATGATCTATTTTTGAGAAGGATCCATGTGCTGCTGAGAAAAAAGTGTAACTGCTTGATGTTGGGTGGTATACTCTATATATGTCAATTAGGTCTAGGTTATTAATAGTGTTATTGAGTTCTATAGTTTCCTTATTCAACTTTTGTTTGGAAGATCTGTCCAGTGGCGAGAGAGGTGTGTTGAAGTCTCCCATGATTATGGTGTGGTGGTCTATTAGACTCTTGAACTTGAGAAGAGTTTGTTTGACGAACATAGCTGCACCATTGTTTGGGGCATAAATATTTATGATTGTTATGTCTTGTTGGTGTATGGTTCCCTTAAGCAGTATGTAGTGTCCCTCTTTATCTCTTTTGATTAACTTTGGCTTGAAATCTATTTTATTTGATATGAGTATGGACACGCCTGCTTGTTTCCGAAGTCCATATGAGTGATATGATTTTTCCCAACCTTTCACCTTCAGCCTATGTATGTCTTTTCCTATCAAATGCGTCTCCTGTAGGCAGCATATTGTTGGGTCTTGTTTTGTGATCCATTCTACTAGCCTGTGTCTCTTAATTGGTGAGTTTAAGCCATTAACATTTAGGGTTATTATTGAGATATGGGTTGTTCTTCCAGCCATATTTGTTTATTTCTGTTACTAAACATGATAAAATATTCTTTTAATTTCCAATTCCTACCCTGCAATGCCAGCTCACATGATTGGGATAATACCACTATTATGTTCTTTCATCTTGTAGTATAACAAAGAACCAGATGGCATGATTTCAATAAAAAATATTGAGTTCAGGTTCTTTTGTCTGCTGTCTGCATTCAGGAAGGATTTTCTTTGATATAATAAGGCCATTATTAGACTTTAAGTGACAGGTGATTATGAGAGCCAAGATTTTTTAGCATTTTATACCTAAGTTTTACAAAGCTTAAAAAATGTGCTATAGGACTTTTTTTTCAAACATTATGTTTATACTCAACCAATGGAGAATCTCAGATATATTTCTCTCTCCTCTATCTGTGTCTCCATCTCTATCTGGAATGCCAATCACTTTACTCAATCAGGAGTGTACTCTGAATTATCTTCTTATGTAGCCCTATTTATTTCCTTTCTGTGTTCAGTTCCTTTTAATTAAAAAAAAAATGTCTGTGCACATGGATTTGGATCAGAAAGATCCTGGGGATGAAAGCTATGCCCAGGAACAACTCTTGGCAAATCTGGAAAATGGTCCCTGTTGGCCTTCATCAAACACAACCTAACTCAACCTCCTACTCGCTCCCTCAGTCCTCGTTACCCACTCCCTTCCAACTCCCAAAGCCCTAACTAGGTTATAGTATTTTGGTTATCCATGGTGTAAATACCATATAAGGGTTGATTTCAGGCTGCCATGAAGTCTTCACAAAGCAAGGAAGGGGAGGTAATTTCAATTCCTGCAATCTGATCTGGTGTGAGCTGGCTCCAGCGCACCACTGGCCCTAATGATTGCTGTCTGTTTGTCCTGCCATCTGTGTCAAAACCCACTGTCCGAATAGGATTTTTCATTAGTCATTTATACTTTTCTGTGAATTTCTGCCTTTTAGGTCCCCATTTCAGAGGAGGTGTTTTCCACTCTAGAAGAAAGAACTGGACATTTTATGTCAATGAACAGGTAAACATTTCATGGAAGATGAGAAGAATGACTTCTGCAAGCTCATATCCACATTGGGGGAGAAAAGAACATGTGAGAAGACATCATGGAGGGCAGGGCTGTGTCCCTAGCCTCTTCACTGTGTGATCTCAGGTAAGGTGTGCCTCTTCCTTGGCCTCAGATTTCTCAGGAAGGAGTGAGCCAGCTGGCCTCTAAGGGTGCTCCCGTTTTCTGATATGTCACCTCTCCATGTGGAATCATCAGAGTCCAACTATGCTCAATCACAAAATCACAAAAACCATGAGCTTTGGCAAAGCAGATTAACAGGTCATTTCATCATGTTTGTTTAATCAATTGAATGCTTCTCATATGAGGAGACAGAATAAGTAGGTAAGGGAATTAATGCGCTTATTTCTTAATGAAAGAACCCTCACAAACTTTGTAATACTTTCAGCCTGTCACCGGCATTTGTTAGTGTGCAAAGAATTTATCTATTCCTTGTAATCAAGTGGTATTTATCATACAGTCTTTACCTTATTAAGCTATAATAAATGTCTAGTTAAGTGCATATAGGCTGTTTCCATTGCAATTTAATTACCAGCCTAGTTAATTAGGCAATACACTCCAACACCATTTTTATTCAAAGGGTTCCTTGGCTTTATTAGCAGGTTCAAAAGAAGGACCAGTAGACCCAATACCGTTGGTTAGGAGAATTAGAGAAAACCATGAAGCAGCTTCCATGTATACAGTGCCTACTATGTGCCAGTATTTTTTAGAAACCACCTCTAAATTCTCACAATGACTCATTTAGGACATCAAATATGGAAAATAACTGCCTAGAGTGCCTATGGACAGAGGACCTGTGATGCAGTCAAATGCTCTATCACTGAGCTATACCCCCATGGCCTGTGATATTTGCATTTTTCCAAACTGCAGGGACAAAAGGTGGATGCTCCATACCTAGTAGATATCCTGCCTTAGGACTGCAGTCAGAGCGCTCTCAGTGCTTCTTAGGAGTCCATTCCAGTGCCACATTTCTCTTGAGGACTAGTTTTAGGAATTGCTGAGAAATCTCAGTCGATGCACGGGCATTTCTCATGCAACAGGTGAATAAACAAATTTTATTTACTTGTTTTGAAATTAGCTTAAGATTCTGAAACATGGGCAAATGCTTCCTTTTAGGAAACTCTGGATTTTCAGTTGTTGTCAATCGCTGTGCTTCAGAGAGAATGAAAGACTCCAGGGAGCAGATACTGATGGGGAATGGGAAAGAGGATGGTAGGAGATTGGGTGGGGACAGGAAAGAGAAGGAGATGGAGAAACAAATTACTAGACTTAGCACTTGTAAGGTTCCTTAGGACTTGTAATTAATTGTCCTTGTGGAGCCCAACAGCCTCGTTCTGATCAGAAAAATCACATGAGCCTAGGAAAATTTGTGGCAGGAGAGTTTTAGATTAGTTGAAGGTGTGGGGTTTGGAAAATCATTATGATGTATTTGAATCCTCACTTAATTGCTAAAAGCTGAAGGACTATTTTCTGATACATTGTGACTTGTTCTGAAATAAGGTTAGAAATGACTTTTTTTTTTTTGTCAGCAGTGTGGGGTTAATGAATCAAAGTAAGGTGTCGACATCTTATGCCCTAGTTTTATGTCACTATAATAAGATATCTGATATAATCAACTTATAAAGAGAAATGTTTTGTTTAGTTTGCTGTTTTGGAGATTCTAGTCCAAGATGGACTGGTCCTGGGCTTGTGGCAAGGCAACCTCATATTAGGAATATGTGACAGAGCCAAATTGTTCACCTTTTGGCCAGGAAAAAAAGAGAGAACAAGTCGGGATTCTACAATCCCTTTTGGGGGCATGGCCCCAATGACCTAAGGAATTCTCATAAAGTCCTACTTATCAAAGATTCCACTCCCTTCTGAAAGCACCCTGTGTGGACAAGCCTTTAATGCATGGGCTCCGGGGGACATTAAGATCCAAATTATGGCATTCTACCTTCCAGCTCCAAAGTAGGTACTCAGTACTCCTAGGAGGGATATCAGCTTCATGTTCCCTGGATTGTCATTATAAGGCACATACTTGGTGGTATGTGGATGGAAGACTAAGCAAAGGGTGTCCAAAATTTTAAAACATTTAGAAAAGGACCCTAGATATAGATTAAATATTCTTAGATTTGTTAATTGAGCCATAGAACTCATTTTAATCACTTCACACTATGATCCACTGGATAACATTTCTAAAATAAATATTTTATTTTCTTGCTTACTCATTGGAGACTTATTTCTGAATCATATTTATTAAGTTAATTACTAATTCAGTTTTTGGAGAGATGCTGTATGTCTATTTATGCATTAAAGAAAGAACCTGTATAATTTACCAGTCATCCTGTCATAAGCACCTTACACAATATCTGATACATAATAGACACTACAGTGTCTATATATAATAGACAATATACATAATAGACACTATGGACATAGTAGAACATTTGTTGAGTGAACTCATTTTTCCCCTGGAGTAACATTTATGTGAAGGTCATGGATTGACCACTAAAGAGAGAAAGGATGCATATAGTTAATATCTAAATTGATGCTAAACCGACCAAGATGAAGCATGTGATTAGTGATTAGTGATGCCAATGTCAGTTATCTACCAGATAAACTTTTGGCCCTGGAAATGCATCAGTGAACTAATCAGACAAAAAATTATTGCTTTCATAGCATTTACATTCTAAGAGCAGAGAGATGACAATACACAATAAATATGTGGAGAGGGAGTAAGGGAAGTGTGATGATTAATTTTAGGTATCAACTTCAAAAAGGGGATACCAAAGACAGCTGTAAAGCACTGTTCCTGGATATGTTTGTCAGGGTGTCTATAGAAGGGATTGGCTTTTGAATCAGTGGAATGAATAAGAAAGTTCTACTCAACAGGGGCAAGCACCATCCAGTCAGGTGAGGACCTGGATAGAATAAAAAAGCAGAGAAAAGGTAAATTTGCTCTTCTTCTGGATCTAGGATAGCCTTCTTTCCCTGTCTTTGAACATCAGAACTCCAGGTTCTCTAGTCTTTGGACTCTAGGACTTGCTCCAGTAGCCCTTTAGTTGCTCTGTCGCTCAACCTTGAACTTTGAGTTATTCCTTTGGTTTCCTTGATGTTCAGGGCTTCAGAATGGGACTAAGGTATGCTAACAAGTTACTTAGTACTCTGGCTTATAGATTACATATCATGGAACATCTCAGCCTCTCTAATCCTATGACTCAATCTTCACAAAGATACCTTCTTTATCTATCTATCTATCTATCGTCTCCATCTCTATAACTATCATCTATCCACCATCCATCCATCATCCATCCATCCATCCATCCATCCATCCATCCATCCATCCATCCTATTGCTTCTGTTATCTGCAGAACCCTGATGAATACAGAAAGGGACAGATACAGGGAAAGGTGATAATGTGTGGGAGCAGATGGATATTAAGGAAAGACCTCCCTCATAAGAGTACTTGTGAACAAATATCTGAAGGAAGTGAGGGAATGATTCAAGAAGATATCTGAAAACAATAACAAAAAAAATTCTGATAGAAGAACAAGTATAAAGATCCCAAAACATATCTGTCACAATGAAGAAACAGTGAAGAAGTTAAGAAAAAATGGATTGGGATGAATAAGTAGAAAAGTAATAAAATGGGGTGCACAGAAGTATCAGAAGTCAATATCATACAGGGCCTCATGGGTCATTATAAGGACATTGGATTTTATCTTGAGTGAGGCAGGAAACTAATGAATTTTGAGTAAGCGAATGATTTTACAGGATCACTGGGACTTCAGAAACGAGGACAGATTGGAGGGTGAAAAGAATTAGTTAGACAAGTCTGGAGATTGTAACTGTGGTGAGATGATGATAGTAATGACTAAGATGGTGTTGGATGAAGTGGAGATGGTGGAAGTAGTCATAGCCTGAATATAGTTTGAAGGTAAAATCAGCAGTAGTCTCTGATTACGTAGTATAAGAATGAAAGAGAAGAGATAAGGATGATCCCAAGATTTCTGATTTAAACGATATGAAGAATAAAATTTTCGTTTACTGACATGGAAAAAATTGTGGAAGAAGCACATTTTGGAGGCTTTGGGGAGTTATTAGGAGTTCAGTTATGTCTTTTTAATTTTAAAACATCTTTTTAGAATCAAAATGAAGATGTCAAGGAGACAATTGTGTGCACAGAATTGGAATTCAGTAAAGAGCTCTAGAATGCAGATGTAAATTAGGAATTGAGCCAGTAGAATAGGTGAGATAACCAAGATAATGATTATAAACAGACAAGGAAGGTAACTCAAGGTGTGAACTCTGGGGCATAGGAGAATTGAGGAGAAACTAGAAAAAGAAACTGAGAAAGTTAATCAAGTGAGGCAGTAAGAAATCTACAAGAAAGCCATTAGAAAAAAGTACTCCAAAGAAGAGGGAATGTGTCTGGTTCTGCTGGTGGAGCAACGTCTTTAAGATAAGAATTGAGAATTGACCATATTTTTGTTGAGTTTAATAAAGTAGACATCACCAGTATCCTTAAGAGCATTTTTCTAAGGATGAATAAATTCAGAGTAAAATTTTAACTAGTGTATTCTCAAAATATGGGAAAGAAAAAAAAGCATAGAAATGGAAGAAACACTTTTAAGAAGTTTCATTGCAAAGGAGAGCAGAGAAATAATGTAAAAGTATAGGTGGATGTGGAGTGAAGAACTTTTTTTTTTCCATGATGGGAAAAGTAATACCATGTCTGTGTCCTAATGAGAATGATCCAACAGAAATAAAAAGGGATGATTCAGAAGAGAGGGGGGAAATTAATGGAGAAGAATTATGGAGTAGAAGAAATTAATGGGTCCAGTGGACAGGCACATATAGAAATAAAATATATCACAGCAAGTTCATGAAGAACAGAAGGATGGTAAACAAAAAAAATGTAACTTTGGTTTTATCCATTTCATGAAGTAGTAGAATGTTTTACTAATGTAGGCTCTGATTAGTAAAAGACAAATAATAAATCTGTAGCAACAATAACACACACCTACACACATACACACACACACACACAAACAAAGAGACATAACTAAAACATCAGTGAAGGAAATAGAATTCTAAAACAATAAAAGAGGAAAAGAGAAAGATCAGATGGCACAAATAGAGATAAAAAGCACAAAAGTGGAATTAAATCCAGATATAATGATTATTTTATTATTAATGAAATAATCCTAGTAATAGTTCAAGATTGTCATATTGGATAGCTAAAAAACATAGCAATAAGCTGTGTGTAATAAGTGCACTAAATACAAAGCCACAGACAGGTTGAAAGTAGAAGAATGGAAGAATATGTAGCATAAAATATCAAGTAAAATCCAAACCAACCAAGCAAACAAAATCTACACAAACAAAACTAAAAGTACTGTGGTTATTTTAATAGCAAACAAGTTGGAAACAGTCTTAAAGAAGATTTTATACACAAATAGACCTTCAAATGAAAAGTGTAATACCACTGATACAGAGAAACACTTCATATTTATAAAGAGGTCAATTCATCAGGGAGACATACAACTCAAATGTGTATATCTCCAACAAAAATCAAGAAAATACATGAAATGAAAATGAGCAGAACTGAATTGAGAAAAAGAAAAATGCATAGTCAGGAAAAGTTACAGAATAAATAAATAAAAAACAGTGATATAATTTGGGCAATATTGTAAAATATTTGGTCTAATGTACATTTTACAGAACCCTAGAGCAGACAATAGATTAGGCATTCTTTTGAGCAGACAATAGATTAGGCATTCTTATCACACATGAATTGAATGCAAGAATGACAAAGTTCTAAGAAACAAGTTTTAATAAATTTCAAAGAATTGAAATCAGGTAGCATGTGTTCTCTGAAGGCCACACATTAAATTATAAGTAATATATAGATATATTACAATATAAAGATATCTAGATATACAAATATTTGGAAATTAAATAACAGATTTAAAAAATTCATAGGCCCAAGAATAAATTTCAAAAATTAAAAAATATTTTGACTTAATGAAAATTCAATACATCAAAATAAGTGAGATATAGCTTAAATATATTAAAGGATATTTGTAAATCTAAATGTCTAATATTAATAATTAATTAATTAATGTATCTAATAATACATTAATCTAAATGTATTAAAGACAAAGAAACTAGAAAACTAGAAAAAGAAGAGAAAATTACAAAGTCAATAGAATAAAGAAAATTAAAATAAAATTGAATATTGACAAAGTACAAAGTGAACAAATGATACAGAAAATGAACAAAATGTTCATGAAAAGATTTGTAAACTTTATAATACTATAGCAAGACTTTTCAAGAAAGAAAATATGAATCACCAATATTAGGAATAAGGGGAATTAATACAGGTTTCACAAATATTTAAAAAAATTAAAGAGATATTTTGAATTGTATCATGCCAACAATGTTTACAACTTGGGTAAATTCATTGAAAAATATAACATCTTTTTATTTGCAGTACTAAGGATCAAACCCAGAATCCTTGTGCTTGCGAGGTCTGGTCTACCACCAGACTATATCCCTAGCCTGAAAACCATAGTTTTAAAAGCTGCTAAAACAGGAACTTAAAAGTCTGAACAATCTTATTTTATTTTGTAAAAAATAAAGTTTTTATTTGCAAATTTAAAATATTGTTTTAATAAATAATATAAAAAGATATTTTAAATAATAAAAATATTTTAAATTTATAAGTAAAAACTTTCCACATCAAGTGAATGAAAAGATAAACCACAGACTAGGAGAAAATATTTGCAAAAGGCATATTTGATTGGGGATTATGATCCAAAATAGACAAAGAATTCTTAATACTCAACAGTAAAGAAAAAACCAGCTTGATTAAAAGGTATGTCACTAGATGAATTGGAGGAGGTACACAGAAGTGTACTGAGAACCTCAACTCTGCCTTGGCAGGCTCTTGTGTTAGGAAAAGCATTTCAGGAAATATCAAAAGAGAAACAAAAAAATCAGTAAGTTACACATATCCTATATATAATTGCACAAAATAAACATTTCCATTCCAAAAGGGAGAAGTAGGGCACAGGAAGAATGAATGGGACCAAAGTAAGGCAAAATCCACCTGGATAAATAAATCCTCTAGCTGCATGTCCAGTATCTGCGACACATGGCATCATAATGTTCTCTCCAAAGAACTTGTGTAGCTCTGCCCCTATGACCTTGCTAATTGCACCTCACATAGCCTCTATGTTAGCTTGTTTCTGCAGTTTTCCTCAGCAGATGTCCCACAGCTTGTCTTGGGTATGGTCTCACCAATTCTCAAGATGCCCTCAAGCCATTGTTCTTATTGTCTCTGGATAATGTGCTTAGCATCTCTTTGGCAGCTGTGATCTCTTTAGCAACCACTACTTCCTTGATGCTAGTTTACTGACATGTTTCTAACCAAACTGTAAGGTTTTTAAATCTTTCTGCTCTGCTTTCTGCTCCTGATTGTCATAGCAAACTTGGCTGAAAGCCACAAGTAATATTCATGCCACTGCCCAAATGCTGTCCTGCCTTGAAATTTGCGTTGTCAGACTAATTAGTCCATCACCTTAAATTCAGCCTCACAGAAAGTCTCAGGACGTGGACAGAATATAGACAACTTCTTTTCCAGAATGTAACATGGATGACCACTACTAGTCCAACTTCCAGTAGAGTTCACTCTCTCCTCTGAAACTTCATGAGCCAAGTATTTCCTTTGCAGTCCTATTGGCATTTTGATCTTCTGAGTTCTCACCAGAATCACTCATTAAACTCTGTTTATATATTCCAAGGTTTTTTCAGCCTTCATTTCCAAACTTTTTAAACTCATTGCAAAATCTTTTAAAGCACATCGTCAAGTTAGTCACAGTAATGACCCCACATTTATGAAACAATTTTCATATTAGTCACCTTTGTGTCAATGAACAATGTACTCAACAAAAACAACTTAGATGCTAAGAGCCAAATATATGATGCATGGCATTTTTGGTCAAAAGGTGACACCAGCTAGCCATTGAGATGATATGATTATGTTAAGATTTGCATTCATATGGATATTGGATTCCTGCTGTTCACCTAGGCCGGCTATGGGACTCCTGGAGAGTTCCCATTGGTTGGGGAAGTACAGTAGGAGGGAGTTCCCGGGGAGGAGGCTCTCTGTGGTTCCGAGAGGAGGCCGCATGGGTGGAAAAAATCTTCCCGGGCGGTACCGGACATTGGCGGCAGTTTCAAAAAATAAACTTTGTTCCTGCTTGAGTGGCTCGTGATTTTGTGTCCAGCCAGACTGCGGCACTTAGAGAAGAAAAAGTTTATTTTGGCTCACAGTTTCAAAGGTTTAGTCCATGGTCATAGTTATGGAGTGCATGGACTCCATACCTCTGAGCCCAAGGTGAGACAGAACATCATGGCAGAAGGGTATAGGGTTGTGGCAAAAACAGTTGCTCAGTTCATGACAGCTGGGAATCATCTATCTATCTATCTATCTATCTATCTATCTATCTATCTATCTATCTATGAGAGAGAGAGAGAGAGAGAGAGAGAGAGAGAGAAAGAAAGAGGTATATGCCAGGGACAAAATATAAATACCCCAAACATGGCCCAAGTGACAATGATCTACTTCCTCTAGTCATACCCTATTGCCCTATAGTTAGCACCCAGTTAATTCATTCAAGTGGATTAATCCATCAAGTAGATTTTAGCTTTCACAATCTAATCAATTCCATTCTTTGCATTCTTGCATTGTCTCACATGTGGACTTTTTAGGAGGACATCTCATATTCAAACCATAATATCCAGTCTGGAAAAATTCCAGGGAAGAACTTGGAACTGTCTGCTTTGGGTGCATGCCACACAGGAGCTGTGAGACCTTGAATAGGCTAAATGACAGTATAATTCTAATAATTGAATCTCCCTCATATGGTTATTGGGATGATCCATGAAGAGCATTTAAACACAACAACAAACATGGGCTGATGTGACCAGGTTGATAAAGAGCTATGATTAGCTGAGCCTAGTTAAAGATGCTCTGTGTATGGGAGGGGGGGCTAAGATCTTTGCCAAAGGGTGCTGGGCTTAGCCAAAAGATAGCCAACTGTGCTAACTCAGGGTTTCCCTCCTCTTTGGCTGCATATGCTCTCTTTTTGTTCTTAAAGAATGTTCAGTGCTCCGACCACTTTTTCCTTTAATAGTTGTACTTTTAGCCCTTTTTTAAAAAAAAAAAAATTTAATGACGTGTCTTCTTAGGCCTGGCACAATGCTGTCCTGAGCCTTATTTCTTTGAATGCATGATTTGGTGGATTCCAACTCCATACTTGTTCCTTTGAAGAATCAGCCAAATTCCTGGGTTGCAAATTAGTAAGGTTTCCCTGGCCCTTATGTCTCTCCACCTAATCTTATAGCAGCTCCTAGGGCTTGACTGCTTAGTGTTCTGTTAAGCAGACACCTCTTTGAAGACACAGAAAGGGGTAGGAGGGCATATATTCTGTCAAGACACCCTGGGGAGACAAATATTTACTCAAGAAACCGGACAAATTCAAGCCTGTATATGTACCTCTACAGACATGTGTCTCAGAGAGATAAAGGAAAGGAATATTTAAGGATTTTTTTTTTCCTGTTCTTCCTCATCATCTCATCTCACAAGGAGCCTGTGGTGAGACTACATTCATGCTCATGTGTTGTTGGAGAAATGAAGGCTCAGAGGCAATCAGTAGCCCAAGGGTGCACATGCTTTTTCTGAGAAAGAGGAGAGGAAGAGTAGAACAAAGATGAGGAAGTATGGTAGTGACAGTGTGGTGATTTTGGACTTAATAGATTTTTCAATTATTTATGTATTGTTCTATGTGTGCTAACTATGTACTCAGCTCTGTGAAAGATTATATGGAGTATTCAAAACTTTTTCTTGTTCAGGGAACTGAAAATCAACTGTGAAGACAGTCCAGAATACAAAAAGAGATGAGGGTAAGTTTCATATAATTGATAAAGCATGAATAGTGCATTGGGACACTAGGCAGAGGTCTCATGGGCTGGGTGACACCTAGATAGGGTCTGGGGAGAGGAGGATGACTCTTATCCTATGGTGTCTCATCTGGTATCTGGACTCTGGATCACACAAAATATACAGACAGACATCTACTGTGTCAAACCATTTGGAGTTTGCAGAGGGAATCCTCTCCTGCTTTTGGATACAGACCCCTGCTTTAAAAATAAACTAGGTGCAAATCCTGTTTGGGACAATGAACTCCAAAATAAAGAGAGGAGATGGTAGAGATGCTCAATTTTTCATTGATTTTCAAACTTCTGTGGGGTTTTTTTTTGGGGGGGGGAAAGGACAACTTTCATGGACCAAAATCTATTATTTTGCTGAGAAAGCTGTTCTTGAGACTAAAAATGCTGACATTCCTGGGGAAAAGAAGAAAAATCCAAATTCATGCCTTGAAGCAAATTTGCAAAAAATATGCATTTGTGTCTGCCAAAGCAGATTTTTTTTTTCTCCTCTTATCCCCAAATGTTTTTTCCCATTTTCACCACAATGGACTATGTTTTAGGAGAGATGTAACTAATTCCTGATCCACTTAATAAAAGATGTGTTAAGAAGAAAGTGACTCACTTTTGGTGTGTGAAATGTCCTTCCAATTCTCTTAGTGTAACCATGTTCATGGGTAGAATACGACTCCTTGGTGGTCAGGAGATTGACCCTATTTACACTGCCAATTAGCTGTCAACTTGGGCAAGTGACTTTTCTCTCTGAGCCCCTTACCTCAGTTTCCCCACATGCAAAGTGACTCCCAGTGGTATTCAAACTAAGGTTTGCAGAACCTTCTTAGGTGTCCCCTGAAGGTCAGGGACAACTTGCAGGAATTGAAACATATGGAACTATGACCTTCTTTGCTCCTATTTACTTCTTCAGGCAAAGCAGATATGCTTTTCCCTGTTTTGTAAAGTTATGCATTCTGATAAAATTGCTTTTATTTTTGATTGGTTCTTTTTAGTTATACATAACAATAGGATTCATTTTGACATAATTATAAAAGCATGGAATATATTTTGTTCTAATTCAGTCATTAGTACTCCCCCCTTCCTTTTCCTCCTCTTGCCCCCATTTTCCATCCCCTCTACTCTCCTGATCTTTCTGCTATTTACTTATATTTTTTTCTTTTGAAATTAGTGTCTTGTGGATGTATGTGATTGTGAGATTTGCTGTGCTATATTTATATATGTACACAGGATATTTAGGTCAGATTTATTCCACCACCTTTCCCTATCCCATTCCTTCTTCCTTCCCTTCAATCCCCTTCTCTACTCCACTGCTTGCTCTTCTATTTTTTTTTTACCACCCCCCTTATTTTAGAATAGCTTCTGGATATCAGAGAAAACATTTGACCTTTGACTTTTTGAGACTTGCTTACTTCACTTAGTGCAATAGTCTCTAGTTCTGTTCATTTACTGGCAGATGGCATAAAGTCATTCTTATTTATGGGTGAGTAATACTCCGTTGTGTATATATACCACATTTTCTTTACCCATTGGTCTGTTTAAGGCATCTTTGTTGGCTCCACAGCTTGGCTATTGTGAATTATGCTGCTATAAACATTGATGTGGCTGCATCACTATTAGCTGTCAACTTGGGCAAGTATATGTTGATTTTAAATATTTTAGATGTATCTGGAGAATTGGGATAGCTGGATCATATGGTGGTTCCATTCCTAGTTTTTTTGCGGAATCTCCATACTGCTTTCCAGAGTGGTTGCACTAACTTGTACTACTATAAATTAGTAATGTACGAGTGTACACACAATGCATGAGTGTATCCACATCCTCACCAACATTTAATGTTACTTTTATTTTTTATTTCTTTGTACCAGGGATTGAATTCAAGGGTACTTAGTTACTGAGCTACATCCCTGGCCCCTCTTTTTATTTTTCATTTTGGGACAGGGTCTTGCTAAGTTTCTCAAGAACTTACTGAGGGCTGGCTTTGAATTTGCAATCCTTCTGCCGCAGCCTCCCCAACTGCTGGGATTACAGGCATATGCTACTGTATCTGATTTATAATCTTGATAATTGCCATTATGACCGGAGTGAGATTAAATCTCATTGTAGTTTTAATTTGCATTTCTTTAATTGCTAGAGATGGTGAACATTTAAAAATACAATTGTTGACCATTTTTATTTCTTCTTTTGAGGACTGTCCATTCAGTTCCTTTCTGATTTATTGATTTATTTGGTGTTCAGTTTTTTGAGTTTTTTGTATATCCTGGCTATTAATGCCCTATCTGAGGAGTTAAAGAAAGATTGTGCTGATTGATCTCTTTCATTCTATTTACTCATGGCTTTAAGTCTTCAAACTTAGTGCACTTACCACATTTGGATCTACCTCTGCTCTGAAACAGATGTTACTCTTTTCCCAAATGAATTCGTCAATAGAGGCCAGGTGGGGGCTACCTGATTGTGCATGAGAAAAGCAATGGGTCTTCAGGGTTCACAGCTGCCCTGAAAATCCTGATGGAAGAGAGATGATATCACAGTCACAAGAGATTTGATAACACAAGTTGTATTCCTGCTATGGACAGCTTAACCATAGGTGCAGCCTAGATTTCAGAAAGTCCTAACTACTCCTCAAAGCAAATAACTCTGCCCACTTTTGTCTAATAATTGTCATTCCAATAGCTGAAGTTGGAATTATAGTTGTAATCTTAACACCATGGATGTGTTGATGGCCCTGTGGATGATTCCCTAGACAATGAAGTGTGTGTGTGTGTGTGTGTGTGTGCGTGCGCACACGCGCATACACACACATATACATGTGCAGACACACACACACATACACACACTCTTTCACTTATTGAATAACTGAGAAAAGGGTTCTTCGGGAAATAATAGCCCATTTATGGGGCATCCTGCAAAAGTAAAAAAAAATAATAATAATATAATTCCCAGGATCTCAGCAATTTCCACCTGCTCTTCTGGAAGAACCCTGTTTATAGGAGTTGATTTTTAAAACTTACCTGGAAACTTCTACATTTACTTTGTGAATCCCAATGTTTTCCATTGTTGGCTCCTGACTTCAGTTTAGGATTTTTATTTATTTTTTTAATTTTATTTTTATGTTATTTTTTTAATTTAATTTTTATGTTTTTATATTATGATTTTTATTTTATTTTTATGTTATTCATCCTGGCTATACCTCTCTGGAATCATCTCAGGCAGACACCTGAGGAGATCACTTTGTGTGAATTCACACTGTTGGTTGCATCTTAGGCTGCAAGACTCTGAGGACTGTGTGTGGACAGGGAAGGCCCTCAGTGAGTAATCATCAAAGGAATGAACAGACAGATGAATGAAAGGCTAGGTCAAGGAGAGCCCTCAACACTCCGCAGAGGTGGTCAACACACATTCCATCATGAATCTACTTCCTGCCTGCCTAGACTGTATGCTGGTCTACGATTCTCCATCTTATCTTCATATCATGAGCTATTTTGTTAAATCACTCAAAAAAATTAACACATGTTTGAGTCTAAGAAGAAAATGAGAATTTTTACTCCATCTTTCCCTTCCTTCCTTTCATCATTTCTTTTAACTCTCACTTGCTCTGTGCAATTGTTCTGTGATGTAAGAAATTCCAATTGTTTTCTTCACCTTAGAGTAGAATTTTATCCTGAGCCTAAAGAACTAATTAAAGGGTTTATATATTAAAATTCCAATTAAATACACACATATGCACAAGCCCACAGACTGATGGAATGATAGAGAAAATATGACTAGTACTTAATAATGATCATCACTGGATAGTGGTTCATAGATATTTATTATTTTTTTCTTTCTGCCCTTTTCTTTTCTCCCAATTGTTTTATTAAATGTATGAATTACCTGTGTTGTAAGAAGACAGAGATTTTATAAAAGTGGATATGTGCTTTACCACCACCCTTTCACTTACATTGGGATTTAATTCCCTTCTAACCTTATTATTCTACCTGTCAAGCTAGTTTATTACTATTTGTCAGAGGAAACAGAGTAAAATAGAAAGGACTGAAATTTCTCACTACTATCTCTTAACTTGTTATTATCTGCAAAAGACCATAGGTCTTATACTTCCCCTAGGTTCCAAAAAAATCACACTTGTTATTTTTGGTGGAAATTTTTAATATCTTGACTCTGTTTTGAGTTGCAGCCTTCCTGGTACTATTTATGTGGAGTCTTGTGGTTTATAGGCTATATGTATGTATATATATATATATATATATATATATATATATATATATATATTAGCATAAAGTTACAAATGTTTAGTAAGCATAACTTTATAATCACATATTTTATATATGTTTACATATACAATATGTGTTATATAGTGTAATATTATAAAACTGATTGGGATAACTAGTTTTATGGTTGTCTCTACCCCCAGGAAGTACCCATTTTAATTGGGATGTTGAAGTTTCATATAGAGAGCCAGAATGGGCCATCTGATAATATGCAAGTAAAGATGAGGCTGTATAAAGCAAATTATAAATGTTTCCAAGAAATCTTGATGAAGGTCAAGGAAAGCAACATTAGACTTCAAGGCCAACATGAGCAAATTTTGGAGAGTTGCCTTTTCCTAATATCCAATGAGATACTAGGGCTGCCATTGGGGAATGTAGGAAATACACTGAAGGCCAAGTGCTGAATCAATGCTGAATGTAGAACACAGCGGTTCCCACCACTGGGATCATTGTGGGAAGACATTCTGTCAAATAAAATTTCTTAGTCAAATATTACACACGGGCACGTGTGGAACTGGAATGCGAGATTTTTCCCCCTAGTATTGCCCACCCCCACCTCTACGCTTGCTTCCAATCCTATCACTCCTCCTTCAAGTTCTGTGCCCTCCTGCCAGATGTTGTCACCTGTCTTTTCTTGGAAGGCCTGGGTAATGTTACACAGCTGAGTCCGGCAGGCTCCTGCCCCAGGCCAAACAAACAAACAGAAGAGAAATCTTTCAGGCCAGGCACCTGGGAAAAGTGATTTTGATGCCGTCCATGGCATGAGCTGAGGCAATTGATGACTTGGCATTCTGTCCCCGCGTCATCAATCATACAGAATCAATCTCCACTCCCTCAGGAGCTAGCCCCCGGCTCACATAATTCTCTCTCCCTGCCACCAACCTGAACAGTCTGATCCCAGTGGTGGGAACTGTTTTGTTCTGCGTTCAGCATTGATTCACTTGGCCTTCAGTAGTATTTTCTACATTCCCCAGAAATGTCACTTAATTTATCCTCTCTGAGTTGGCTACATTGCCTGGGCCTCACTGCATCAAATGGAGCAGGCAAGCACAGAAAAGTGTCTAGCTTCTCACCCCAAAGGCATGTGCCTTGAGGTCCCGAGACCTGAAAATCAGGGTGCACCTTGCTCTGGCTCTGCCTCTCAGCAGTGAGTCTGAGGCAGGGGCTAGAGCAGAGGCCAGGACCCGGGACTTTCAAGTCAGATGGAGGTGTGTGTTTCCAGGACTGCTACTTCCTAGCTTTGTGACTTCGAGGAGGGTCCTTAAACGCCTTGTGCCTCAGTGTCCTTATCTGTTAAATGGTGATAATAAAAACACCTACTTCCTGGAGCTTGCAGGATTAAATTAGGCAAAGGACAAAGTACTTATCACAGTAGTGCAGAAGTGTACATGCTCAACTCAGTAGGTGTAAGTTACTCTCTTATTAGGATACATTTAGGATTTGTAGGGTTGACCCATACACTCAATGAGGTTGGTGGTCATGAGAGAAAAGGCTTTAGAATGGTGCCTTTTCCAGAAAGAACTATTCTTCTTTTAGTTCTAAAACCCCCACATTCACTCACTTTCATATCTCAAAATATGGGACTTCTCTTCCCATTCAAAAGGGAGGGGGTCCTACAAAAACTAGATGCACAGAATGTGGCACGTAGTAGGTGGTACAGGAGGAGGAGGGAGCTAAAATGAATCTTTGTGAACTCTGCAAATTTTCCCAAGGCAGCATGGAGGAATGTTCATGGATGAAGTGGGGGGTGAGCATTTTTCTACACAAAGACCTGCTCTGAATCCTCCTTGTAAAGGGACACTTTCTGATAGGTCGCATGGACTTTCCAGGACATGCACATGTGCAATGAGTTTTGAGTGGACCAGGCTGCAGCCCCCTGGGAAGTGGCACTGCCCTGGAAGGGACAGCAGAGGGTGATGGAGGCAGCTGTGGGAGTTCAGAGGACTTCTTTCCCAGTCTAGATCTTAGGTTGTCTCTGCATCTGTCTGTCCCTCTTGCTTAGCAACTGGAATTGTCTTTTCCAAGAGATTTTGAGTCTGCTTTATTTGTTAGGAGACAAGGAGGCACTAATAAATTCCTCTGTGTGAGGTATTTAATTACATAATAATGTGTACACTAATCAGGGTAAATGTGTTTGTGAAAACACCTTGATATGGGAACAGTTAATCACCCAAGGCATTGCTTCTTAACACACCTTGGAAGTTAACTTAATTAAATTAATTAGAACAATGAAAAAATTGAACTGTTTATTGGTCCACAATGGCCTGAAGAAATGCTCCCCTCAAATGCAGGAACATCTTCCATACTGCGAACGATTTTTCCCCAAACTCTCAGCCCTTATGGTTATGGCTACACCCCAGGAGCTTGCAGCCGGCAAAGCCTCCCCCTGTGCCTTACCTTGGAGTCATTTCCTATTGGAGACATAAGGCAATCAGTCTACGTGCCTGAATGCACGCACACACACACACACGTGCACCCAACCCACCAACACACCCTTTTTGTGCACTTCACCAGAAGCACAGAGAAATCCAGTAAGCTTTTACCCAGGATTCCATGGGTGTACAGTTTTCAGGCCACCATTGTGAGGGCCAGACTGTGCATTGTAAAGGGAAGAAGGGAGGCGTGCTTCCTGAAGGATGGTTAAAATCACTGTCATCACCAATATCCTTAGGGTTGTCTGTTAATGATGGTGTTGATAATCTGAATTTGCATAGTGCTTTAAAAAGGGTACTACTTCTTAATCCTCGCTTCCCGTCTTCTTGGTCTTTGTCTAGGTAACCCAAAAGGCAAGGGACCTGCCTATGGGAGGTCTATGGCTGTGGCATCCAACCCCAACAGGAACAAATGGATGAGCTGTTCTGACAACTGAGCAGACCTTGAATAATGTGCACCTGAAGTCAACCACTGGAGAGTGAGCTTGCGCAGGGTGGAAAGGGAGGGTACCTGGGGGAGGGAGTCTTATCTGGGGAGAGGAATGCTCAGACCTTAAAGATCAAGATGGATCTTTCCCAGAGAGACTTGCTGCTGTCCTTGTGGAAGGGGAGACTTTAATGAAGAATCAGAGTTGCCAGGTGTGAGCTCACAGAACAGAGTCTCAACTGCTCTGTCCTTCTACCCTGCCAGGACCTCATGAAGCCAGACAGTGGTGAACCTGGGTGATTCCATCCACAGAAGTCACCTGGGATCCAGTGGAGCTGGAACAAATGGAGCATGTCCAACTGAGGCCACCTGAGGGTAACAGAAAAAATATTCTGTAACAGGGAATAAATAAAAAAAAATTACCATGAAATTTATTTGGATGATTCCTTTCTGCTGGGACCATAAAGCTTCAGTTCTCTATTATTTAAAATCTCCATATATTACAACAGAGACTCTTGGTTAAGTTACTGCCAAGCCATAACTTGGGTTTGTAAAATATCTCACCAAATAATCCTCCATTTGTTTGTGTTTGGAAGTGAGCCCTGGGGAGTAGGTAGGGATTTTCTGTGAATTCAGTAAGAAGGCTAGAAAAGGTCTAAGCTCAGCCTAAAAAAGACAAAAACAGAAGAAACTCACCATAGGACAGCACTGAGCAGCCAGGCTCTGTAGAGATTAGCCTTGGGCTTTCTTTGTGTGACCAGGTTTCCAAGTTCTTGGACCTAAATTAGATCAGCCATGGCCAAGCACTCCACTTACCAAGTAGTCCAAACATACCTTCTATCACTCATCAACAAATAAATCAAATAACCTATAATAAATTTCTGATATCAGGGAGATACATTAACAGACATGATGCAGATTAGAGTCTAGTAAGGAATTTAGATCAGGCCAATAACCTAGCAGAAAGAATTATGTGATGCATACTACCTGGAAGACCCAGCTCCATTCCTTCCATTTTAATCTTTATGTCCCAGAAGAAGTCTTAACTACTCCTGGGAGCTTGCTTCTATTGCTACAAGACACACAATCTTTGTATTTTTGTGAACCTAGAAGCTGAGCACAACCCCCACCCACAAACCATGATGATTTCTTCATGGGGAGATGTGTTCCTCCCAAACTTACTTTGAGTGGATGCCATACCATTTTCATAAGTAGTTTCATGTTGCCTCTCTGTGTTCTGGATGAGGGTACTTTCCAACCAGGGCCTGGGGACAGACACTAAGGGCTGCCATCTTTTCTCTCAGAGATCTGCCCCAGTACCCAGAGAGGTTAATACAGAGGAGTCAGATCTTCTAACGGTGTGAGGTGTGAGAAGTTCTGTCTAAACTCAGCCCACTTGCAAGGAGTCCACACTCACTGTGCAGATGATCTGAGTTTCCCAGCTATTTATCCATCTCTAAGTTAATATTTTTCTCAGAGATGACCATGGAGGAAAGATGCCAGTGTATTAGAAATGGTCCTCTGAGCCTCATCAGCTCAGTCCCCCCATAATTACAGCCCCATCAGATGGGAAGGACAAACGTGTTTCTGGAACAGGATTCTTTAGCACTCCTCCTTCATTACCTGGCTCTCCCTCTCTTCCAGCTCTTTCTTTAGTTACTTCCTGCTTTCCCCACGTACCTTTGGACCTGAAGACCTCAGCCCTAACCTGTGGTCCTAGTGGAAGCCTAAGGGTGCTCTGGATTTTCTGTATTATCCCTATATCTTCATTCCTGAATATTCTTAGTTCTCTAATGTATTATGCCCCTCAAGGAGCCCAAAAGACAGAGAGAGAGAGAGAGAGAGAGAGAGAGAGAGAGAGAGAGAGAGAATTGTATTTTTTCCACACAGTATGATACCTTTCTCCTGGAAGTTCACACATAAAGCAGAGAACAACACTTGGTGCAAGGAGATAAGACATGCCTAGAGGGAACTGCAGGCCAGTGCAGGAAGAGGCTGACTCTGGGGACCCTGTTTTATCTGGAGGTCACATGCCTTCCAGGATTACAGAAGCTGCTGAGGATTTTGAGGTATCTGTGTGACTCCATGTTCCAACCGGGCCAAAGCTGACTTCTGGTAGGAAATCTCCTCTCTTTAGCTCACTTTGGTCTGTGACTGTTCAGTTCAGTCTTGCCATTTGATTCTGTTTAATACATTACAACCTCTTTAATTCAAATGTATGTTGAGATCTGAGTGCACCTTAAGAATTTTCATGTATGAATGGTAGAGCACTTTCCTAAAATGCATGAGACCCTGCACCCAGCACTGCAAAAAAAAAAAAAAAAAAAAAAAAGTGTTTCATTTTATTTTGCTCAAGTGGGCTGATTGTCCTAGTAAATAAGGCTAAGGAAGCTTTTTTACAGTCTGGTTCTTCTCTGTTATTATGGGCAGAGTTTGAGTACTAGGTTCCTGCTTTGCCTTCTGAGCTAGGGAAGTGGCTGAACAAACACAGAGGATCAGGATTCCTTCTCCCTGCTTTTCTACTTCAAGCCTGTCTGAATCTATGCTGGTCCCAAACAGAAGTCATTCATCCATCCATGGTATCCATTAATTGACTCCCCATTGATTCATGGATTAGTCAGATCACTTTTACTAGTGGCAGTTACTATGCTAAATTCTGGGATTACAAGGATGAATTTGTGAGAAAAATTCCCCCCATGGAATAGGACAAATTCTTTTTAATCCTGTCCTTCTTCACCTGCCAAAAGTGCTTTCTTATCATCCCCAACCTGTTCAGTTCCTCTAGCTGCCCTACTTTTCACTCCCTTATTCCTACCTGAAGTTGCATGCCATGTTCAGGAGTATAGAATTTGCCCTGAGTGCAAAAGCGGGTGATAGTTCTCCCTCTTCCTAACTAAAAATGCAGAGTTTTTCTATCTTCAAACATTAGTTGATTGACAGCCAAATGCAGCATCTTTTCTCTTTCTGAGTTGGCTCTTCCTAACATTTTCCCCTATGTGAGCCTCCATGTTTTCCAAATTGCATTATGGAAAGTCCAATAAGGTAATGAGGCTCTCCCTGAGGTTCACTTTTCTCTTTACTGGATATTTTTGACATCAAGTACCATGACGAAGGAAGTTTGAGGATAAATAAGACATAGAGTTTGGCTCCAAGCAAATTATGACCCAGGTGGGGGAAATAACACATATAATCTAACTAGACAAAACAGGACAAAAATGGAAAAGTAGAAACTCTTTCCTACTGTAGGATAAGTGTGAGGATCTTCAAGACTTTAGAGGCAGGACTTTATCAGACATTAAATGATGCTTAGCATAGAGGAGAAAATACATCTGTATTCCCATCCCCACATACACATAAGGCCTGCCTGCTCCTGCCAGTACTTCCTAGCTCATTCTACTCCATCAAGAAAGAAGAAGTAGCCCAATCATGAACCAAGCAATTTGGTTTCATTTCCTGGTGAAATTTCAAAGGCTTAGCTTCTTTTGCTGCTCTTGACATCTTCTTCAACAGGAGGCTAGATAGACCTGTTAGGCGAACTGGCACTGGCAACATTGTGGCTTGCCTTTTATACCTCACTGGTGAACATAGCCAGGGGGATCACTTGTATCCCTGATCACCCCTCCAATCTGACCCTCATGCTTCCTCTCTTTCCTCAAGAGAATTTTCCTTTGTTTTCATGCAGAGAATGGTAACATTATCATCATATTGTACTGGCATTCTTTGCTGGGGCTGTGACCAACAGTCCCATGTACTTTTCCAGACCAGAGTTATCTGCTTTATTGTAGCTCCCTGGGGACTTTGCATGGGGGTGTGCATCCTTTACATACTGCCTGGTTTTGTAGGCATCTATGAATGTCCGACTCTCTCTTTAACCTACAATGTTGATATGAATAATGCTGTAAATTGTATTTTGTTTGTTTATTTTTTTGCACTAATATATAACGGTAGAGTAGAGATTTTCTTTTTCTTTTTGAACAAAGGAACAGATCATTCAAGTATGGATGGTCTTTGGTCTTGTTTCTCAGCATACCTCTGGATGTCCTCATACATACATACTCTTTGGAACCTCAGCAAATGGAGACATGTTTATATCAGTTTGCCTTACTACCAGCTATCTAGACCTGTGCCAGCCAGGTCATGGCGAACTACTCTTTCCTCCTGCACCCTGTATAGGGTTGGTCTCTAAGTGCTGTCGACACTCCCAGCCTTTCCCTTTTCTGCTGGGGCTCTCCTCACGGTATGTCTGCATGTTGGCAGAAGCCCTCAGTTAATCTCTTTGCATCAAAGCCTCAGTGCAAGCAGACACGTCCTGCCTAGGACCTGCAGGTTATGTACTCCTAATACAAGACATCCACATTTGTGCTTTTAGACTCATTTTCTGTAGCATTCACATATTCTAGTTTTTCCAGAATATGAGTTCACTGTTCCTATCCAAGTTCACCTCTCAATTTTCTCCTGTATCAATGGCCAATTCTGATCAACCCCACCATGAACATTCTGTCAAAATTAAAGTACCACCTGCTCTGAAATATCTTCAAAAGTTTCCAAACAAACATGATTCTCTTAAAGACTTGATGCCTTTCCCTGTAATCATTGTGAAGCTGTTGCGACTAATCAGAGAACATAAAACCCTTCAGTGGATAATGATTAAAACTTGAGGTGAGAAATCAACAAATGAAAGGATGGTATTATGTGTGAAGTTTGATTATAAAGCAATGTCTATGCCATAGAACAATGATAGAGGAGTTCAGCTAACAGGTGCATTTTACCACTGTTAGGACTGAATGTTTGCGTACCCTCTAAATTCATATATTGAATTCCTAATTCCCAGAGTGATCTAATTACTTAAGAGATAATTAGATCATGAGGTGAAGCCTTCATGAATAGGATTAGTGCTGTTATGGTTTGTATATGAGGTGTCTCCCAAAAGCCCTTGTGTTAATACAGGAGGTGAAATGATTAGATTATGAGAACTATAACCTAATCAGTGGATTAATCCGTTTGATGGATTAATAATTTGATTGGAATATAAGGGGTAACTCCTGGCAGGTAGGGTGTGGCTAGAGGAAGTAGGTCACTGTGGGTATGCCCTTGGTGGATTATATTATGTCTCTTGCTCCTTCTTCTCTTTCTGCTTCCTAGCTAGCTGGAGCTAAATAGTTTTCCTCCACCATGCTCTTCTGCCATGATGCTCCACCTCACCTTGGGCCCAGAGATATAGAAATGACTGGCCATGGACTGAGTCCCTGAAACTTTGATCTCAAAATAAATTTTCCCCATCTTAGTTGATCTTGTTGGTATTTTGATGACAGTGATGAAAAGCTGAGTAGCATGAGTGCCCTTTCAAAAGGAAGAGTCCTTTCTCTCTTTCTACCATGTGAGGATACAAGGAGATCTCAGTAGTATGCAACCTGGAACA